CTGATTAAAATATCGACTTGGATGACAGCCAATAAACTTACGCTTAACACTGACAAAACTTACTATATTATGTTTGGTAGCAGAACAGGAGATGCACAAATTAACATTAAGATTGACAACACTCTAATTACCAGAAATAATGGGGGAAAATCCTAGGCTTATACCTTGACAACAACCTGAATTTCAGCACCCATATCCAGCATATAGCCAAAAAAGATATCCAAAACGGTTGGGATCCTCTCCAAGATACGATACTACGTGCCGCAAAATGCCCTTCTCACACTATACCACTCGCTTATTTATCCATACCTCACCTATGCTATTTGTGCTTGGGGATCAACTGCAGCAACACACCTAAGCCAATAATAACCCAACAAAAAGCTGCAGTAAGAATAATCACTAAATCCCATCCCTGGCAGCACACCCCCCCACTCTTCAAAGATCTAAACTTACTCCCAGTTCAGTACATCCACACTTTCTACTGTTGCAATCTATATCTACAGGGCCTTAAACTCTAATATCAACCTTGACCTAAAACGCTTTCTTGATAGTTGTGACAGAACCCACAGGCATAAACACCAGAAACAAACATCTCTACGACATTCCCCGTGTCCGACTAAACCTTTACAAAAATTCAATGTATGTCAAAGGCCCTAAAATCTGGAATACCCTACCTGAGAACTCTAGAAACTGCAGACACATTCATCACCTTCAAAACTACCATTAGAAAACATCTTATCTCCCTGATACACCCCGTCAACTAACTACACGAATACCACCTGGTGGTTCACACTTACACTCGCTCACTCATTTGACCAATAAACAGAAATATTAATCTCAGTCTTTAAAATAATGAATCCTGTGATACTCCAATACTGAAACTATATACTGTGCCAAAACAAAAGCATTCACATTGCTAAACTCACAAACTAGTATTTAGTCACTTAGCCATAATACCAACTTACCTCATAATTTGTAATATTTTACAATTAAGAATAAAACTAAGTATGCCCAAAATGCCTAGCCTTGCTAAGCGTTCTAGTGGTACACTCTGTAATCACAATTTTACTACATGTAAACCAAACAATAACCAAATTTCTGTAAACTCAGCATTGTAATCCTTATAGAGAATAAACTTTGAATTTGAATTTGAATTTGAATTTGAATCTTGTCCGTATCTCCCAGGGGCTCCATCTCTGCACCTCGTTTCGTACCTCCAAATCTGCCAGAGAGTTTGAGCCATCAAACTTTTCTTCTAGCAGAGAAGAGACTTACAATGTGCGTTTTACGCTTCTGGAATTAGAGTCAACACTCTCTGTTTGCTGAACATCAGCAGCTGGGCCAGACGGTATTCGTATCTGTATGCTCCAGCATTTACATCTGTCAGCCCTTGCAGTCCTCTTACATCATCTTATTTGATCGCCAGGAGTTCTGCCCCAGCGGTGGAAATCTTCCAGTGTACCTTTTCGTAAACCAGGTACTTCGGGACTACTTGATGCCTCCCACTATTGTCCCATTGCTCTTACCAGTGCGGTTTGCAAGGTGTTGGAACGTCTGGTAAATAGACGTTTGGTGTGGTATTTAGAGACATACAATAGTTTTTCCACTAGTCAATATGGCTTTCATAAGGGCAGTTCTACTATTGGCCCCTTACTCCATTTAGATACATATGTACGTAATGCCTTTGCCAATAACCACTATTATCTTCATCTTTTTTTATTTTGAGAAGGCGTATGACACAATTTGGAGATATAACATCTCGATCCATGCTCACTCCTTAGGTCTCCGAGACAATCTACCATTTTTCCTTCAGAACTTCTTATCCGAGAGACACTTCCGTGTTCTGGTTAATATACTTTCCCTGGACTTTGTCCAAGCTGAAGGTGTTCCCCTGGGATGTGTCCTGAACGCCACAGTTTTTCTCCTTGCTATAAATGATCTGGCATTTATTCTTCCATCTAATATCTGGTCATCACCATGTGTTGATGACTTTGCTATAGCTTGTGCAGGCGCTGACTGTCGCCTCATTGCAGTTTCTCTCCAACATGCGGTCAACTCTGTTTCCAATTGGGCCACTGCACATGGGTTTAAATTTTCTAGTACTAAAATACACCAAATTACTTTCACTAGATTTTTTACCTTTCCTGATAATCCATTGTACCTGTATGGTTTGTGTATCCCTGAACGTGATACTGTCAGGTTTCTCGGTCTTCTGTTTGACCGTTGCTTATCCAGGAAATCTCACATTACCTCTCTGAAGGTAACTTGCTATAGCCGGTTGAATCTCCTTAAAACCCCTCGCTCATCTTTCATGGGGTCTGATTGTAGAACTCTCCTTCTACTGCATTCTGCTTAATTTTATCGAAACTAGATTATGGCTTCTCCTGCAACTCTTTCTAGCCTTAATCCCATCCATCACCAGGAATTACGTTTATGCCTCGGTGCTTCTCGCTCTTCACCTGTTGAGATCCTCTATGTAGAGACGATTATTCCACCCTTGACCGATCACCGCGATGCTCATTGCCTCCGCTTTTTTGTTCGCTCTCGTCCTTCTATGTGCAGGATGGTAAGGGATGTTAGAAGTTCCTTACTTGTTTGTCGTCCCTGTTTACTCCATTCCTTCTCTCTTCGTCTTCATTCGCTCTTGTTTTCTCTTCAGTTATCATCTTTCTATGTTCATGTAGCATCTAATTTTTCCTTTTTTCCTTGGGAAGTTCCGACGGTTCGACGGCTCGTGTCTGTTCTTCCCCACTGTCATGCGCCAAAGCCCGAATGCTTCTCGCTCTCTTTATCTTAAACAGCTCCAGTCTCATTCTCATGTCAAGACTTGGAACTGATGGTTTCTGACGGTGTCCGATTTGCAGCAATGTATCCAGACAGCTTCATATGAAGGCATTTATTAGCTTCGGCTAGTACTTTTACAGATGAATTTTATACAATTCTCTTAGCACTTATCCGTATTATATCTATGCCTGTGTCACCATTTGTGGTAGTTTCAGACTCCCTTAGTGCTTTGCAGGCTATACGAAAATGTGATTCATCTCACCCCCTTAGTTTGTATCCAACTTTGGCTATGCCGTATCTCTAGCAGGCACAAAGATATTGTTTTTTATTGGGTCCCTGGTCATGTTGATGTACAGGGCAATGAAGAGGCAGACACTGCTGCACGGTCAGCAGTACATGACCTCCCAGTTTCATATAGAGGTGTTCCATTCACAGACAATTTGGCAGAGATTTCTACCCACCTTCGCACCTGTTGACAACACCGTTGGTCTGATTTCCTACATAATAAATTTCATTCTATTAAACCATGTGTAAGTTTCTGGCCATCTTCTTGTCATCAATGTCGAGGTTGGGAGACTACTCTCTCCCGCCTTCGCATCGGCCACACTCGTCTTACTCACGGATATCTCAAGGAGAGGTGCCCTGTTCCACTCTGTGAGACTTGTCAGGTGCCAGTTTTTGTTAGCCATATTCTGTTGGACTGTCCATTCTATCATTGCGCACTCAGAATTTACCTCCGACTTTGTCATCGCTCAAATGCCCTTACTTCTTCTTACCTTCTTGCTGATGGACTCTCCTTTAACCCAGAGTCTCTCGTTGGCTTTTTGACAGTAACTGATTTATTGCACAAACTTTGACGATGATGATGCCTCTACCACTCCTCACAGCCCTTTCTACCTCTCCCTCTTGCTACTCTCTACCCATGCACTTTCCACTGCCCGGCTGCACTGCATGATCTAATAATATTCTGTCTCCCTCTAGCTATCCAAAACCCTGCACCCTTCCCTGCCTTGCTGCACTGTATGACCCTTGTAGGTTTAGCGCTTCATTTTTTATTTTAATAATTTTGGAGATAGGAGTTAGGAAGAACCAGTTGTGAGTGTGAGGGAAGTTCGTGAGGCAGCGAGTAGAATGAAAGGGGGTAAGGCAGCTGGGAATGATGGGATAAAGATAAAAATGTTAAAAGCAGGTGGGATATAGTTTTGGAGTGGTTAGTGATTTTATTTAATAGATGTATGGAGGAGGGTAAGGTACCTAGGGATTGGCAGAGAACATACGTAGTTTTTGAATAATGACTTAAGAAAAAAAGAGTGTAAAAATTATGGGGGAAAAAGTCTGTTGAGTATACCTGATAAAGAGTATAGTAGATTTAATATTGAAGGGATTACGAGTAAGACGGAGAATAGGACAGCAAATGAACAAGGAGGCTTTAGGAAGTGTAGGGGGTGTGTAGACCAAGTGTTCACAGTGAAACATAGGTGAACAGTATTTAGAGAAGGGTAAAGAGGTTTTTATGGCATTTATGGATTTGGAAAAGGCGTATGACAGGGTGGATAGAGGGGCAATGTGGCAGATGTTGCAAATGTATGGAATATGAGTTAGGTTATTGAAAGCAGTGATGAGTCTTTACAAGAATAGTGAGGCTAGAGTATGTAGAAGAGTGGGAGATTATTTCCCAGTAAAAGTAGACCTTAGACAGGGATGTGTCATGTCACAATAGTTGTTCAATATATTTATAGATTCTTTTGGTACAAAATTATTAATTTTTACAATAATATAAATGAAAAAAAATGTATCTTCAAACGTATAAGAGAATATTTTAGAAAGGGCTTAATATAAATGAGTTCTTGTTAATTGACCAATTTTACCTATACGGCATGACACACACACACACACACACACACACACACACACACACACACACACACACACACACACACACACACACACACACACACACACACACACACACTCACACACACACTCACACACACACTCACACGCACACATACACACACACATTATATATATATATATATATATATATATTTATATATATATATATATATATATATATATTATATATATATATATATATATATTTTATATATATATATATATATATATATATATATATATTATATATATATTATATACCACCTCTAGAACTTTACTGGGGAGTATGTATACATTACACAAGCTAAATTATAACTTACCTACAGAAGGGAGCCCAAACGTTTCTACCGGCAGGACATGATGATACATTCGATTTTCCACAGTAATTAAACTTTAATTACATTGTTTCAGGCTGTTAGCATACTGTTAATTTATGTAAAGTATAAACACACAGATATATTACACTTCTCACATTCAGATCTAGTATTGCGAAAACTCTATTTCGTTTTTTAAATTAAATGAAACTCTGAATTAACTTGCAAGGTTAAACTTGGGTAAAATCGTCATATTAACAGTTTGCTCTGTGTACATCTTTCTCTGGCGGTTTCCCAGTGCAATGTAGATGTGAGGGAGGAAGGTGAGTGGTGCAAGAAGTGTGTTTACGTAGTGGTTGCTTGGTGACAGATTGACGTACCTGCCTACACGTTGTTGTCACCTCCCACTTGCTTGAAACAGTAGCATCCCCTCCCATTACCCCCTACTCCACTCCACACTTCTCCCCACTCCTGCCTCCACCACTACACACGCCCCCTCCTCTTCATTCCCCTCTATTGTCCACGCCCCCTCTTAAGCCAACACGACCCACTCCTCTTCATCCAGTACCATCCCCATGCCACCTCCTCTCCAACCCACTCTATGGTACTACTAACGCCCCCTCTCTAACCCGCCCTCATTTTTATCCTGTGTCACCCAGTACACCCCTTCTCTAGCCTGTGCCTTCTAGTACGTCCCCCTCTCCAGTCCGCACTTTTCTTCACTCACCCACACCTGATATTCTCCCACCAGAGAATATTAGGTAACCCTATTGATACCCTTCTAGCATCTAACCTATGTGAGTCTAGTAACGAGTGCAAGTTAATATCCTTTAACTCAGTAGAGCAAGACATTACTATCTTATTCTTTTTTGAAAACGGTTTGAACAGAGTGAAGTTAAGGTGACTAGGGAAAATATTTAAATACAATTTTGATATATGAGGCCCTGGCTAGTTTTTCTCGTGAAATAAGCTATTTAACCCCAAGGTCAGAGTCCCCAAGGTCAGAGTCCCCCAAGGTCAGAGTCCCCCAAGGTCAGAGTCCCCCAAGGTCAGAGTCCCCCAAGTTCAGAGTCCCCCAAGGCCAGAGTCCCCCAAGGTTAGAGTCCCCCAAGGCCAGAGTCCCCCAAGGTCAGAGTCCCCCAAGGTCAGAGTCCCCCAAGGCCAGAGTCCCCCAAGGTCAGAGTCCCCCAAGGTCAGAGTCCCCCAAGGTCAGAGTCCCCCAAGGTAAGGCCAACATTCTCTTCAGACTTTCCCTGTTTTTGGAACTTGTTTGTTACACAGATCTCAGTGCACAAACTTGAATAAATTATTAGTCTGAATATAAATCAAACATTAGCTGTGCCTTCAGACACATTATTGATATTAGAGTACTTAATACGGTAGTTTATGTAAAATAGTGTAAGGCAGTTGATTCGACATAAAGTAAGACTGACAAACCAAACAAATTCCTAAGTAATCTAACCGAACCACGTCAGGGAAGATAAATCACATTTTTCTTTAACACTGGAACGACCAGCTCGCCGAACAGCAGTGAGCAGTACACGGCAAACGAAAACGACCCACATCAACGAGTAAGGAAGGAGACAAACAATGACTTAAATGGGGACAGCAGCTTCTCCTCCAAACAAGTTTACAAAACTCAAGAGTTATTAAATTTATGTCCAGGAGCTTGAAAATCCTGACTATGGTAGTGTGCAGAAACTAAGTCTGAAAGAGTTAGATCTAGAGTTAGACACTGGACCTGAATCATATGTGGGTGCCTCTGAATTAATTTCATTCTACTTCCTGCCTGGTGTACTAGCCTAACGAGCAGTATTTTATATTACTGTAAACACTAACGAGTGGTATTGACCAATGACAACACTGGCTAATTGCAGTCAGTAGAATGAAATTAACTCAGAGGCACCCACACCACCGTATGTCCTCTGATGACAGTAAAACACCTAGCTTGGCTGGGTGCATCATTCTTGTAAGATTGAGTGGTCCTGTGGGTTAGAGCATCATGTGTTTTCGCTCTCCATGAGGCGGGGCAAAGCAGCATGGGTTCGAGTCCTTGGCTAGTCGCAGTGTTGTTATTGATCAATACCACTCGTTCCTGGTTACAATTATATATATATATATATATATATATATATATATATATATATATATATATATATATATATATATATATATATATATATATATATATATATATATATATATAATATATGTCGTGCCGAATATGTAAAACTGGTCAATTAGCAAGAACTCATTTAAAATTAAGTCCTTTCTTAAAATTTCTCTTATACGTTTAAAGATATATTTTCTCATTAATATTAATGTAAATATTTTTAATTTTGCACCAAAAGAATCTTAGAAAACTTACCTAACCTTATTATAACAAGCGCAGTTTATTTTAGCCTAACCCAACTAAATATATTTTAGATTTGTTTACAATAATTTAATACTAAACAAACACAAAGAAATATATTTTTATCGTTAGGTTTAGAATGATTTTGGCGAAATTATTGCAAACACAAATTTTCGCTTGTCCTATATGGCAAGATGAGCGTTGCTATTTAAGCCAAGATAGCAAGTTCTGCCTATTCGGCACGACATATATATATATATATATATATATATATATATATATATATATATATATATATATATATATATAATATATATATATATATATATATATATATATATTCTGGGCACGCGGCCCACCGCAGGGGAGCTGGACGAAGTATTCGAGATGTAGCTCTGAGTTACCTATGTTGTTTTACTTTGTATCATATTTTTGTGAATGTTTTGTCAATGTATTTTGTCTTTAATATATATTATATATATATATATATATATATATATATATATATATATATATATATATATATATATATATATATATATATATATATATATATATATATATATTTTATATGTATTAATATATAATATATATATTATATATATATATATATATATATATATATATATATATATATATATATATATATATATATATATATATATATATATATATATATATATATATATATATAAGGGAAGTACCACCTCTATAGCTGGACTGGGGACCCTCATCCTCAGAGAAGACAATAAACGTACCTCAGGGAAAACTCAAGGTTCTCCCCGGAGCTGTTTGAATATTTTCTTCTCCTACCACCCCCTATATTTGATATTCTATATGAACATTTATTAATAAACAAAATACATTTACAGAAACACATAAACATGAATACAATGGCACAATGTATCAAAGATCATGAATTTCCTCCAGCTCCTCCGAGGCTGGACGCGAGCCAAGTATGCAGCAAACATTTCCCCTCTGGATGGCTACGCTGAGGCGCTGAAACATGAAAGTGGCTGCCCTTGAGTTCCTGGTGGTGTCGATGAGTCTGGAGCCCAATTCTTTAAGGAAACGTGTGGCATTTTTCCCCATAATCCCAAGGTCTCTGATCCCACTGAGACAAATTGATACTGTTGGCTTATGTCCCTGTACTTGCTGATCTTGTACTCCTTCCTGTGGTCAGCAGCTCCTCCCTGTCGCCCCACACTGTGATGGATGTAGGTGTCAGCCAGTGTGGACACACAGGTATAGTCCCATGCTAAGAGCTTGCCATTCTTCTAAGGGTAGATGGTGATCCCGTCGGGGTGGTTTGCTTGGTTGTGGGTATTGTTGGCTGCTAGTGATCGGGGCTCCCTCTCGACTAGGCATCCAGCTGTAGCAAGGGTTCTCTTAATGATATCTTTGACCTCTTTGTGTCTTGCATGCCAGCCCTTGGTTTTGGAACAGCTAAGACCATGTAGACCGTATTGGTCTGCTTGCGCTTCGCCGCAAATACACGTATATTCTGTGTGAATTGCGGCAGCAAGGCGCAGAGCCACTGCAATACGGAGGGTCTTAGGGTCGAGTCGCGTTCCCATTGACGCGAGACAGCAGGCCCGCCGGCAGAACTGGACAGATTCTTCATACAACCCACCAACAAACTATTCTACCCAAGAAATAAGAAATTTTAAAAATTATTATTTGTCCAATGTATTATTAAATTCTTCCCAAATTCTATTAATTATAAATGGATCTATGTGAGTATTTATAGGATGGAGTCAGGTGGAGAATGCTGCATGTGACAATCTTCCGAGTAGGGTGATAGAGTCTAGGATCCAGGGATCCTTGGGTGCTGGTCCTTGCTGGTGCTGTTTTCTCCAAGGCCAAATGTCACTCAGTCTGAATGACTGACTTATCTTAGATCATCCCTCCTCTCTCACTGTGTCCCTGATATGTTATCTCACAAAATTTTTCAACATTATCTCCATATTACCCCTCCACATTTCTGATCCTCCGCATGGATCCCAATTCTCCAGTTCTATTTTCTTGTAAATTAATGAGCTTATATTAAGTAGAATTGCTTGAGTCATATGCTGTAGGCTCTTCTTGCCTCTCCCAATGCTATGTCCATCATTGCTTTGTTGTTATTAGCGTATTCTTGTCCTGACCTAATTCTGTTTAGTCTTCAGTGTGTCTGTTAATTAATCTTTTACACGCCTCTGTTGATTTCTCTCATCTTCACAAACTTCGCTGGTGTCTGATTAGCAGTACTCCTCCCAGTACCCTGTTTCCTTTATTCTCCCTCTGAACTGGATATCTTGCTGGGAAAAATGCTTTGTGATAATCTTTGTGATTACGTCTTCGTAAATCACGAAGATTATCGTAAATCGAAAATATCTGGAGTTGCCTATGCTATTGGTGTTCCGTTTCTCTCTCCTGTTTGTTATTCTATCTCTACTCTTGTATCATATTTTCATTTGCTTTTCTCTTATTGTGCTAGTTTGTTGTGTCTTCGTTTCATCTTCTTTCCTCATAAGTCAGGGAAGAAAGATGAAATTTGGGGATTAAGGTTAAAGGTGACCTTAGGACGCTGTTCTTGCGCTGTCAGGGGTCAGTGTTGTGGATGTTACTGAACGTGGATTGTTAGTAGGATATGATCGGGTTCAATTTATTGGGTTTAAGTGTGGGAAAGACTGGTACTTAAAATAGGTTTGTTGGGATTGGGAAGTGAGGAACCCTGGAGGATAAGGTTCCAGTCCTGTTGTTGTCTCCCTTGTTATGCCTACTGTCACTATCAGGTGTCTCCTCTCCCTCCACTCTTTAGTTTCATTCAGTTACTCCTCCTGTCTCATTCTGCTTTGGTTTAGATGCTAATGGAGATGTGTCCGTATCCCCTAAACCTTACCCTCTGTGACTTGTGTCACCTCTGACACAAGGGACTTATTTGCATATGGAACAACCTTTCGATTCTCTGACAATTTGCAACATGTTAATCTTCGGCTTCTCTGCTATAGTTCCTTATTTGCCTATCTCTTTTCA